CTTGGACCCCCCCCTCTTGGCCGCTCCCGAAGAGGCAGCGCCGGAGGCTGCAGCCCGCGGGCCCGAGCAGCTGCCGCGCGGCCGCGGCGGCCGCCGGCCCCGCGCCCGTGGTGCAGCCGGTCGCCTACGCACCTGCCATGGGTGCGGACAGCAAGGTTTACCAGTTTGGAACATATCCCTATCCCTATGTCGGGGGAGAAAGAGATACGGACACGTGTTGCCCCCCGTCGTGTTCGGCCTTTCCTGGTCCTCCTGGGGAATCCTCGTTGTCACCGCTGGATTCGCCTCGAAATTCTGGTCAGAACGCACCCCAAGAGAGGTCCGGGGACAACACGTATCCGTATCTTTCCGCCCCCCAACTATGTTTGACATCACCTCACCTCGATGCCGATCTTAAGGATTCCCTCAGTTTCTGAGGGCCTATCTCTAAGATTGTCCTCGCTTTTTGCTCGCCCATCTTAGGGATAGGGTGCGGACAGCAAGGTCGGTCGCAAACATGCTTCAAAAACCGTGCACAACAGAACGAACGTTCGTGCACTGCTTTGCTCAGCGGCCCGCCTCGTGGTTCTAGGCAGGCAGCGCGGTCCGCCGGAAGGGGGCGGGGAGGGGAGAAGCAGGCAGACGGCGACGAACGCAACCAGGCGGGAGGCCAGGGCCGGCGGGGCGGGCGGGCAGGCAGAAAACGGGCCAGGTCTGTCGCAGGAGGTGCGGAGTCTCGGGGTTTCGAGGCGTTCGGGCAGTCTCGTCGGTCCTCGGCGGCTCCTGCCCGCCGCGGGGTGCCCTCTGGCCGCTGCGCCCCGCCGAGAGCGTTCGGGAGGTGCCCGGGTCGCTCCGAGCGGCCGCCCGAGGGCCGAGTTGTGACCCGACCTCCCCTCCCCACCTCCCCCTCCCCTCCCCCTCCCCCCTCCCCCTGCCCTCCCCTCCTCTCCTCCTCTCTCCCTCCTCTCTCCCTCCTATCCTCCCTTCTCCTCCTCCTCCTCCTCCTCCTCATCCTCCTCCTCCTCCTCCTCCTCCTCCTCCTCCTCCTCCTCCGCCTCCTCCTCAGCCACGGGGCAACGGTACCGCTGCCGCTGCCCTTGCCTCGTTTTCGATGCCGCTGCCCTTGCCTCGCCTTCGCCTAGCTGTGCCTTCCATTGCGTTGTGCCGCATACCGCAGGCCCAGAGGTGGACACCAACACCAAGGTCGGCGGTGTGCCTCCACCGAGGGATGAAGATCCCAATCTCGGTGATGGTGGTCATCATATTCTGGCTTCCAGGGTGACCGACATATTACCACCAGCACCGAAATCCAGGATCATCTTCCCCCTGTAGAGGCAACCCCATGTTTTGGTGTTGGTGCCCATTTCCAGGCCTTCAAGCATACATGCGACTTCCTGCTCCCCTTGCAATGGCCCAACTTGGTTGTCGTGCCGGCGCGCCCTGCTGGCCTGGCATCGCTTGGACGTGTGCATTTTCCCTTCGGCGACGGCCATCGAGGAGCATCCTTGATCATCTGGCGAAAAAAAAACACGCACGAAACCGAATAAAAACACAGGGAATGGACGCCCGAGCGATGGCCAGCTGGACGCATGGCCTGAGTGAGCGAGTGGGGGGGCAGCCCTCGTCTCCACGGCGGGATGCACCTCGAAGGTTCCAGTCGGAGCGCCCCCCCCGGGAGAGGTCTGGGGATCAACATAGACTCTCGGATTGGTGCGCTGATTTCTTGGGTCGGTGTTGGACGCCCCCCCCCCGGCGGCGCCTCCAGCGCCGCCCCTGGCGCGATCCGCTCGCCAGGGAGGGGGGGTCCAGCGTCCAGCGTTGATCCTGGACCTCCGCGGGGACCTCCAAACGTCTATGTTGACGCGCACGTCTGATCTTCTGAAGGTAAAGATCAAGAAGGCCATGACCGTTGAGGATGCGCTGGAGATGCTGACCGACAAGAAGAAGGTACAGTACCGTGGCGGGCTCAGCGGCATCGTGCACGCAGCAGGCGTGATGGAGTACACCCCTTTCCAGGATCATTCGCCCGCCAGGTCCGCCCTTGGGAGGGAGCGAGGCAGGGAGGGAGGGATGAGAAGGAGGAAGCGGAGGAGGAGGAGGAGGAGGAGGAGGAGGAGGAGGAGGAGGAGGAGGAGGAGGAGGAGCAGCAGGAAAAGGAGGAGGAGGAGGAGGAGGAGGAGGATGAGGAGGAGGAGGGGAGGAGGAGGAGGAGGAGGAGGGGGGAGGGCGAGGAGGAGGAGGAGGAGAGGAGGAGGAGGAGGAGGGAGGCGAGGACGAGGACGAGGAGGAGGAGGAGGAGGGGGGAGGATTAGAGGAGGAGGAGGAGGAGGAGGAGAGGGAGGGGGAGAGAGGAGGAGGAGAGGAGGAGGAGAGGCGGAGGAAGAGAGGAGGAGGAGAGGAGGAGGAGGAGGAGGAGGAGGAAGTTAACGAGGATGACTGGGAGTTCGAGCAGAAAGACGGTGACGACGAGGGAGGAGGAGGAGGTGGAGGAGGAGGGGGAGGGGGAGGAGGAGAGGAGGAGGAGGAGAGGGGAGAGGAGGAGGAGGAGGAGGAGACGAAGACGACGACGACGACGACGAGCAGGAGGAGGAGGAGGAGGAGGATGAGGAGGAGGAGGGGAAGGAGGAGGTGGAGGAGGTGGAGGAGGACGGTGTGGAGGAGGAGGAGGAGGAGGACGAGGAGGAGGAGGAGAACGAGGAGGAGCACGATGATGACGATGACGAGGGAGGCGCGGAGGAGGAGGAGGAGGAAGAGGAGGAGGAGGAGGAGGGCCAAAACAAGCAGGAGGAGGATGAGGAGAAACATAGACACACGCAAAAGAGGAGGTGGGGCAGACCGGCCCCACCTCGCCCCGCCACCCGCCAGGTACGATTACACTTTCGCGCCCAAGTGCCAGGCGGCCTGGAATCTGCACCAGTTCAGCGCGCTGATCTGAGCGTTGAGCGCGCTGCGGCCACGCTCCGTGCGGGCGAGGGGTACTGCTGTTGGGGTAGGGTGTGGAGCTCCCGGAGGAGGGTGAGGGAGAGGGCGGATGAGGATGATGATGGGGTGCGGAGGAGGAGGAATAATAATACTAAGAATAATAATAAGCATCACATGAAGACGACGAATACTAATAATCACGCTGATGTTTGTATTACGGGTATAACAACTAGTGATACGGCGCGAACAACAATGGAGAAAAGGAGGATGAGGAGGAGGAGGAGCAGGAGGAGGAGGAGGAGGAGGAGGGGAGGAGGAGGAGGAGGAGGAGGAGGAGAAGGGTGCAGGAGGAGGAGGCGGAGGAGGAAACGGAGGAAGAGGAGGAGGAGGAGGTGCAGGAGGAAGGGGAGGGGGGGAGGAGGAGGAGGAGGAGGAGGAGGAGGAGGAGGAGGAGGAGGAGGAGCAGCAGGAGGAGAAGGAGGAGGCGAGGAGGATGAGGAGGAGGAGGAGGAGGAGGGGAGGATGAGGAGGAGGAGGAGGAGGATGATGATGATGAGGAGGAGGTGGAGGGAAAGAGGAGGGGTAGGTGGAGGAGGAGGGTGTGAGAAGGAGGAGGAGGAGGAGGAGGAGGAGAGGAGGAGGGGAGGAGGATGGGGTCCAGAGGAGGACGAGGACGAACGAGGAGTCGGAGGAGGAGGGACGAGGAGGAGGGGTCAGAGGAGGATGAGGAGGAGGAGGAGGAGGAGGAGGAGAAGGAGGACGAGGAGGGGGAGGAGGACGAGGAGGAGGAGGAGAAGGAGGAGGAGGGGGAGGAGAAAGAAGAGAGGAGGACTGGCAGGAGGAGGTCGAGGAGGAGGAGGAGGAGGGCGAGGAGGAGGAGGAGGGTTGAGGAGGAGGAGTGTTGAGGAGGAGGAGCATGAGGAAGAGAAGTAGGAGGAGGAAGAGAAGCAGGAAGAGGAGGAGAAGGAGGAGAGCAGAAATGGCAGGAGGAGGACAACGAGGAGGAGGATGAGGAGGAAGAGCATGAGAAGGAGGAGGAGGAGGAGAAGAAGGAAGAGAAGCAGGGAGGAGGAGGCGGAGGAGGATGACCAGGGTAAGCCGACCAGGGTAAACCCAAGACGAACCAGAACCATGGATGTTGCAATAAACCCTCCCTCCGAGTTCCCTCTTTCGTAGGTCCCGGAGATGTTTATTTTCATGCTGGGAAGTACCCCATTGGAAGACAACCGTCTGATACTTTTCAGTCGTGCCAAAACGCAGCAGTTCATGGGACCTCAACGCCGCGGATCCACGTGATTGTTGCTTCCTGAGTCCTCCATCGTGTTTTTCTGAAGGCCTGATGGCCGTTGTCGCCGACCCTGAAGCTGGACGACGGCGACGGCGGCGGCGGTGGCGACCACGACGACGCTGGCGCTCTGAAGCCCGTCTTAAGGCCCTCTTGGGAACCAGTTGGGCTCTGTTGGGCCTCTTGGGGGACGCTTTGGGAAGCTCCGTGGCCACTTGAAGCTGTCTCGGAGCGGATCCGAAGGCGCTTGGAGGCATGTGGGAAAAGATGCAGCACCCCAGAACAGCAGATAAGAGCATTTGGGGGGGGAGCGTCTGGGTTGAGCGGGGGGGTCCCCTTGTTCTAGGCCTCCTAGATGGGGTCGGAGTAGATGAGGTCGGAGGACCGCGCCGCATCGCTGATGCATCGCCGATGCGGCTCGATGCGGAGCCCGATTTTCTCCACGCCGGCGTCGCCGATACACCACCGACGTCGGCGACGCATCGGCGATACATCGCCGATGGATTGGCGATGCGGAGCGATCCTCCGACCCCATGTGCTCGGACCCCATCTATCAGGCGATCGCAAGCATGGATTAAGGGGGCGTGGATTAGCGACGGGTCCCGTTTCCATATGAAATCGCTGATTGACGCCGCCGAACGAGGCGCCACCAGCCGCATTTTGGGGAGGGCACCTCCCCCGATCCATGGATTTGGCGCCCGCATCCATGTTTGCACGCCCCCGAATCTAGGAGGCCCCTACTTGTCCACACGGGGGATGCGGGGGGAGGGGTCTTGAGATCCCCCTGTCCCTCTGTCCACGGGGACCGCCCCCCGGGGGGATGGGGAGCGACGACCCCAGGGACCCCACCGGCGCCGATGCATTGGCGATGCGGAGCGATCCTCCGACCCCATCTGCTCGGGCCCACACGGGGGAGGCGCGGGGAGGGGTCTTGAGATCCCCCTGGTCCCTCTGCCCGCGGGGACCGCCCGGGGTGGGGGGGGCACGACCCCCCGGACTGCGACACCCCCAGAGACCCCCTCCCGGGACCGCCCTCCCTTCGCTCGGGAAGGGGTCAGAGGGAAGAGGCGTCCCCTCGAAGCAGGGACGACGTTGTTGGACCCGCGCCTGGCAGTTGAGACCTGTACAAACTTCGAAGACGACGGTGCGCGGCGCGAAGGCGAGAGTCACATTTCGAGACCGACCCGCCCTCCGTCTTGACCACCACTAGTGGCGCCCCAGCGCCAGCCTCCGGTGCCCCCGCGGCGCCCAGACTGCAGGCCGCTTGCCCGCTTGTCCGCCCTCCGTCTGTGAAATTCTTGCAAGCCTCTTGCACGGCAAAGCGCGGCGCTGACGTGAGAGCCCGTTTTGAAAACCACCCGCCCGCCGTGAGATGCCGCCTGTTCTCGAGCGTCCGGGCCACACGTGGCGTGGAGGCCTCGGGCGAGGCGCCTGGCCCGCGCTGCGCACACGTCTGGGGGTGCGAATGGTGCGATGGGGGAGGAGGAGCTGGAGGAGGAGGAGGAGGAGGAGGAGGAGGAGGAGGAGGAGGGGGAGGGGGAGGAGGAGGAGCTGATGGAGGAGGAGGAGGTGGAGGAGGTGGAGGAGGAGGAGGAGGAGGAGGAGGAGGAGGAGGAGGAGGAGGGAAAGCATGACTGTGAGTGTGCCTGAGCGACAATGTGCTGAGGAGTGGGAGGGAGCGAGGTCGAGTGGAGCATGACGTGCGCGCAGCTCGACAGAACACGCGGGCGGGCACGCGGCCACGGCCCGCGGGGAGGCCAGGGCTCGTGGGCGACCTCCGCCTCCGATCCCGTGGGATCCGGGCGGCCACGGGAGAGTACGGTAGTCACCGGGCGCGTTCCTCTACTTGCAAAGTGCCTACTCGCAAACGCCCGAAAAAGCAATGTTACTCGGAAGCTGGGCGAGGGCTGCTAAAACCGTGGCTGCTAAAACGGCCCTCCCGGAAGGGAAAAACAACTTCCCGGAATGAGGCGCGGCACGCGAAACAGTCAACGGGCTTCTTCCCGGAAGGACGAAGACAACTTCCCGGAGGTCGATTTTAGCAGCCACGGATTTAGCAGCCCTTGCCCGGCTTCCGAGTTACCCTCGATATCATTTACTGTATATCCCCCGCGGCGGAGCCAGGCCATTTGCGAGTAGCTGCTCTGCGAGTAGTGGAACGCGCTCGTCTAGGCAGGTTCGTGTCGTGTCGACCGGCGGCGACCCCGCCAGCGGCGTTCAACGTTGAACGTCGCGGGTGACCCAGAATCGTTCGATGTGGAACGGCCCGCAAATCGGACCGAGGCCGGACCGCAAATCGGCCCAGAGAGCAGCGCCTCGGGCAGCAATTCGGACCGAGGTCGGACCGAGGTATTCGAAGAAGACGTAACGCCATAAACATACACTTTTGGCGCTCCGCGCGGATTTCTTGGATCCGCGCTGGGCCCCCCACCCGACGGCGCCTCCGGCGCCGCCCCTGGCGCGCTCCGCGCGCCAGTGGGGGGGTCAATGCGCAGATCCCAGAAATCCGCGCGGAGCGCCAAAAAGGTTATGGTCATGGCGTTTTTGTTCTTCTCCTTTCTAGGTCGGCGATCGCGGTCGATTCGGGGAGGGCGCCCTGATGTGCTGCGTATTCGGTAGACGTTCTGGTGCATCCTGGGGGAGGGTGCCCTCGACGGTTCTTCGGCTTGGCCCGGCGGAGGGTCTCGTGTTCTTGGAGGGTGTTCTTCTATCCCGGGTCCAGCCGTACGCCCCTGTGGCCAGACCTTGGTGATCAGGAGGGGAAAAAACACACAGACACAATGAATCGTCGATTCCCCAGAAAATATAGGAAAATATGGGAAGTGGGGGGGGAAGACAGAAACCTAGAAAATATAGGAAATATGGGGAATAGTTTTATTTGTGTGTATTTATTTGTGTGTCCTGGGGCCCCTTCAGGTGAAGCCACCTGCAGACGGTAATGCAAGAACAGCCGGTGTGTACAGTATTGCAGGTGTTGGCGCCCGTGTCCACTTGTATAGACGCAACTGAAGAGACAGTCTGCCGTCGCATGGCCATCAAAAAGTATTCCAGATTTCGCCATAAAGGGAAGGGGGTCACAACCCTCACAGACGGGCAATTCCAGACCCCCCCAAACAAGCCATGAAGGGCGGCTTTTTGCCCAGACCCACTGGAACCCTCCAAGACAGCTCAAATCTGACCCCATCCCAAATCAGACCACCCCCCTTTTATTGTGAAATCTGAAGTAACCGCTCACGGGAACATGCGTGATCTTTGCGTGCGTGTCTGCTGAAGCAGCTGTCACAAGAGTGACACGAGGCAGCCGCTGGCTGTCTTCGTAGATGGTCCGATGGTGGTGTGGAGCAGCAATCGGGCGTCGTTGACCCCGTCCATCGGCTCACAGATGGACCTGGCAGCTGCTGCGAAAGGTGTCACATTTCTGCCTCACTCCGGACACTGTAGCGGTTCCCTTCAACAAGTGTACGAATCTCGCAGAAATGATGGGGGATAGAGGATGCGGAAGCGAGGAGAGGTGCATTGAGGAAAGAGGAGGAGGGACGAAGGGAGGACGGAGGAGTGATGGGTAATGCAGGAGGAAGGGAGGGAGTGGGATCTCCTCTCTTGTCGGGCCGGCGCACCGCCATTTTCCCGTGCGTATCAGAGCATCTCCCACTGGGTCTCGCCGGAGCCACAGCTTGGGAGTCTGTCGCCCTCTGGACGACAGGTGCAAAGAGGCGTCTCTGGCGGCGGGAGTCAGTACAGAGGACATGGAAAGTGAGACATCGAGAAAGGGAAGCATAGAGGGGAGGAGGAGGAGGAGGAGGAGGAGGAGGAGGAGGAGTGAGAGGAGGAGGAGGAGAAAGGGGAGGAGGATGAGAAGGAGGAGGAGGAGGAGGAGGAGGAGGAGGGCGAGGAGGAGGAGGAGGAAGAAGAGGAGGGGAGGAAGAGGAGGATGAGGAGGAAGGTGAGAGAGGAAGGGAGGGATCCAGGGGAGGAGGACGAGGAGGAAGAGGTGGACGACGGAGGAGGCGGAAGAGGAGGAGGAGGAGGAGGAGGAGGACGAGGAGGAGAGGAGGAGGAGGAGGGGAGGAGGAGGAGCGGGAGGAGGAGTGAGGAGGAGGAGGAGGAGGAGGAAGAGGAGGAGGAGGAGGAGGAGGAACCTCCTACCAAACCCTTCTTTTTGGGCTGCCCCCATCCTCAGTCTCCGCTCCTGCATCCTCGAGATTTTGTTCCCATTCTCGGTTTCGCCCTTGACTCTTGCAGCTGCTGGAAGGGCTTGCTGGTCATTCTGCTCCAGAATTGCTCATTCATCGTCTTGGTGCCGCAAGGATTTGTGTTTTTTTTCAGGTGTTTATTTGTTTGCACACAGATTTGTGTAAACCAAACTGTGTATGTATGTATGTTTTAATATACAGACATAACGTGCGTTTCGATGCGACATTGTCCATCTGCGCGCAGGCACGGCTCCGCCAGAGACAAGATGAGCTGTGGCCGTTGCTCGGCGGCAGACTGACCGATCGCCATCGGTGCGAGAGGCGTGCCGGCGAGGTGGTGGTCCTTGATGTGACGGTGGATGACGGGGGAGGCGGAAGAGGAGGAGGAGGAGGAGGAGGAGGAGGAGGAGGAGGAGGAGTAGCAGGAGGAGAGGGAGGAGGAGGAAAAGGAGGAGGAGGAGGAGAAGGAGGAGGAGCTGAGGGAGGAGGAGGAGGAGGAGGGGAGGAGGAGGAGGAGGAGGAGGAGGAGGAGGAGGAGGAGGAGGAGAAGGAGTAGCTGAGGGAGGGGAGGTGAGGAGGGATGGGAGGAGGAGGAGGGAGGAGGAGGAGGAGGAGGAGGAGGAGGAGGAGGAGGAGGAGGAGGAGGAGGAGGAGGAGGAGGAGGAGGAGAGGAGGAGGAGGAGGAGGAGGAGGAGGAGGAGGAGGAGGAGAGGAGGAGGAGGAGTGGGAGCGGGAGGAGGAGGAGGAGGGGAGGAGAGGCGTGCCGGCACGGAACCTCGGGCTGCTCCTCCCGGCACTGCGTTCGAGGGCCGGCCTTCTCCTCCTTCTTCTCCTCCTCCTCCTCCTCCTCCTCCTCCTCCTCATCCTCCTCCCTCCCTCCCCCTCCCTCCTCTCCTCCTCCCTCCTCCTCATCCTCCTCATCCTCCTCCTCCTCCTCCCCTCCCTCAGCTTCTCCTCCTCCTCCTCCTCCTCCTCCTCCTCCTCCTCCTCCACAGGGGAGTGCTCGGCAGCAGCCGCGCTGCCGGAGAGCCCCCCGAGGCTGCCGCCGCCCTCGGTCACCGACCGGGTAACAGAAACACGTGCCTCGTACAGCGGGGGCGTGTGCCAAGAAACGACGACGACGACGACGACGACGACGACGACGACGACGACGACGACGACGACGACGACGGCGACGACGACGACGACGACGACGACGGCGGCGGCGGCGGCGGCGACGACGACGACGACGACGACGACGACGACGACGACGGCGGCGGCGGCGGCGGCGACGACGACGACGACGACGACGACGACGACGACGGATGACGACGACGACGACGACGACGACGACGACGACGACGACGACGACGACGACGACGACTGCGGGGGCGACGACGACGACGACGACGACGACGACGACGACGACGACGACGACGACGACGACGACGACGACGACGACGACTGCGGGGGCGACGACAGCCACGACGGCTTGGCACAAAGCCGGCGTCGCGTGCCCAGGGGCCGCCCTCTGGCAGCGGGCACCGCTTGTTCCCCGCCCTCGGGGAGCCGGTCCGCAGTACAGTGGGGGCGCGTGCCAAGAAACCAGTTGGATTTTGCCAGGGTGCCCTGGGTTTCTTGGATTTCGATGGGCCCCCCAATAAGATCTTGACGGTTTCCGATCGACAAGTTTGGGTTTTCACTGAGCAAATCGCGGATTTCAGGGTTGGGTTTCTTGCGGAGGTTTCTTGTGGCCGAGCCCCCACTGTAAATCCCCCAGGGTTTAAGTCGGGCACGTCCCTATGCAGGAGGAATGTTCAAAAATAGTCCACAAAACTAGTCCGGGGACGATGTTTTGAATATTTTTGAGCATCAAGACTTGAGTCCCTGTCCCTCTACACGGGGACGGAGGCTTGGACTTAAGTCGGGCACGTCCCTCTACAGGAGGGATGTTCAGAAATAGTCAGAAAATTGCCAGCGGACAATTTTGTTTTATTCTTATTGCACATTTTTGGAGTATGTTGGGAGTATTGTTGATTTTTCGTCCAGCATCCGCCTGTAGGGGGACAAGCCCGACCTAACCCATGGCGGATCCAGGCCATTTGCGAGTACTTACTTTGCGAGCAGTGGAACGCGCTTGCCTACTCAGGGGAGATCGGGGGCCGAGTGTCGCAGAAGCGAAAAACGTCATAAGCACAAGCTTTTGGCGCTCCGCGCGGCTCTCTTGCATCCGCGCCAGGGCTTCCCCGTGTCGGGCGAGAAATTCGAAACCAACAACTAAGCGCAAACTCTGGCGGGATAGCTCACACTGGCAACATTCACAACAACATTCAGACGGGAAACTCGACACCCGCAGCACTAACACACATTTCTGGCTGGAGTTCGAAACCAAAGTAGATCAAACAACAAGGCTCCTCTGGGCGAGAAGCCTCTGGCACTCTCCTCTCTCTCTCGATCTCTCTCCTCCAGCTCCATGTATGCACTCTTCACCCTCCATCCCGCCCATCCACATTTTGCACAGTTCCCTCTTCTGTCCATTCTTTCCAGCTGAGGCAGTGAACTCTTGCTTGATTCCGATCAGTTTCGCTCAACAATATTCAGCTTGCCCCGCTACTCGATCCCACGGCTGGCATTTGATTATCCCACACTTAGCCGTAGCCAGCGTCCGTCACTCGTCACCGCTGTCGTAGTTGTCTTCATTCGTCCAGCATGTCCTGTCTGACTTTTTTGCATGCGCCCCTCCGTGCAACAGGCACTTGGCACGAGGAGACCCTTGTCCAGACGAACTGAGGCCCGTGACGGACATGGAGGACCGGAAGGGGGGGTAGGTCGGACGGGGCCAGGATGAGGATATATTCGTCCCAGAGCATTCCGGGACGCTCTCAGTGCGTTCTGGAACGCTCCGAGAAGGCCGCGGCGCCCGAGATCTCAGATCTCAGATCTCAGAGATCTCAGAGATCTCAGATCTCAGATCTCAGAGCCGCCTGATCTCAGATCTCAGAGATCTCGTCTTGGCTTCGTGTTAAAGAGCGGGAGGAGGACGAGCAGGACGGGGCGGAGGCGCAGCCGAGGCCCGGCCGACGGGCATGGGTCCTTCGAGCGAGCACTGCCAGCAGGCAGCAGACGCAGGGTGGTGTGGGCGTTCCCTCCTCGAGCTGTTGTTTCGGCATGCGTGTCCCTCAATTTCTCCCTCTGCGCCATATGCCCCCGTCCCTTCTTCCCCCATCCAAATTCTCCTTTTTCAGTTCCTCCCTGTGAATACGTGCCCTCCTCTTCCCCACCCTCCATTTTCTCGCCACCATCCTCAAACAACTCCATCATCAGCATGATGATGATGAGTGATGGTGATGATGGTGATGATGGTGATGATGATGCTGATGATGATGATGATGATGATGATGTTGATGGTGGTGGTGATGGTGATGGTGATGGTGATGGTGATGATGATGATGATGATGATGATGATGATGATGATGATGATGATGATGATGATGATGATGAGCATGATCATGCTGATGCTGATGCTGGTGATGATGAGTTTAATGATGATGGTGGTGGTGATGGTGATGATGATGAGGTTGATGCTATTGACGATGCTGATGATGCTGATGATGCTGATGTTGATGATGATAGTGATGATTTCAATCATCCACATGTTTCTCCCGATCCTTCTCCTCATCTTCCTTGTTCATTACTCTCCTCCTGTTCCATCCTCTGCCTCCGTCCCCTCCCGTTTCTCATGGTCGCCTGAGTCATGGCTTCACTTGTAGCGCTGGCTTTCGCTTCCCCTGTAGCAGCCGCTTTTGATCTCGTCTTATGTTCACAATCGCATGCAGATTGTGTGAGCTTTAGTTCCCTACTTGGCTTCATAGTTTCGCGACTGGGGGAAGAGGCTAGGGATTGTGAAGTGAACAGGGGGAGTCCTGGCGAGTCTAGGAGAGCGTCTACTGGCTCATGGTGCGGCTCTTCCGGGACGTGGAGCAATGGCACAGCAAGCCAAGGCTTGCGGGCCTTGATCTTCTGGTGGGAGGGGAGCTGCTGCACGTTCGTGCGTGTGTGTGTGTGCGTGTACTATGAGTGTTCGTAACCACAGCGTTCAATGGTGTCGGCGGCGGTCCCGTTGAATCACCGTCGCGCCTCTGGCATGGTGAGCGGCTTATCATACAAGGTGCCGAGCTGACACCATTGAGGATGCTTGAATAGGGGTACAATGCGAACACGTGGGCACCTTTCAGTTCTAACACCGCACTGCTATTACGGTTGTTCTACAAGCATGCCATTGCTGCTAGATTGGTCACTAAGCAGCTGCCTGCGTCACGTTCCGCCACCGTGCCAGCCCAGCAGTTCAGCAGGAGCCAGATGAAATTTCATGGAGCCAGATGAAGTTTCATGGCCCACTCCAGTTTGACTTGGTTGAATTGGCGCGGGTCTTGAACGTCCTCTCTTTGACCCGAACTCTCTACCTTTGTTTGTGCTTTCTTGTTAGGGAGCGTCTTGGAAGCTTCTCTTGAGGGCCTCTTCAGCCCTCTCGGGGGCCTTTTGGGCACCCGTCGGGGGTCTCGGGGCACTTCTGCGCAATTGCTCCGCCGAGTTCTGGTAGGGGCATCTTTGGGCCGTCCGGGGGTTGCGGGGCCGTCTTGGAGCTCTCGTTGGTTGGTGTCGAAGAAGTCAGAACTGCATATGCACAAACTTTCGAAGCTTCGCGCGGATCTCTTGCATCGGTGCTGGGCCGCCTTCCCTACCGCGCGGAGCGTGCTAGGGGCGGCACTGGAGGCGCCGCTCAAGGCACGATCCGGGAAATCCGCGCGGACTTCCGAACGTTTATGCTTGTGCAGTTGTTCTTCTTTAGGCGTGGGAGGCTTCTCGGGCAGTCTCGGGGCCATCTGGGGGCTCTCTTGGGGCAGTGTTGGCCCGACTTTGGAGCTCGTTGTGGCTGTCTGAAACTTGCCCAAGGCGGTCTGAAGCCGTACCCTCCTCCTCCTCCTCCTCCTCCTCCTCCTCCTCCTCCTCGTCGACTCCTCTTCCTCGGCTACTGCTCCTCGGCTCCTCGGCTCCTCCTCCTAATCCTCCTCCTCCTAATCCTCCTCCTCCTCCTCCTCCTCCTCCTCCTCAATACCACTGAGGGTCCTCGGGGTGTTCAGTAGTGGTTCGCCTCCGGAGGCCTCGCCGGACGCCTTTCCAGGCGTCCCAAATGGGCCGCTTGGAGCCTCATGGGAGGATGTTGGAGCCTCCCCCTCCTCCTGATCCTCCTCGTCCTCGTACTCCTCCTCCTCCTCTCCCTCCTCCTCGTCCTCCTCCTCCTCCTCCTCCTCTCCGTCTCCTCTTCCTCTCCTCCTCCTCCTCCTCCTCCACCTCCCCTCCCCTCTTCACTTCTCCACCCCCTCCCCCACCTCCCCCTCCTCCTCCTCCTCCTTCTCCTTCTCCTCATCCTCCTCCTCCTCCTCCCTCTCCTGCCTATCGTAGTGGTTGTTTTGAAACATCGGTCCACCAAGGTAAGTACAGAAGCAATGGGCACGAGGCCCAGCAGAAAATCCCCGAGTAGGAGTTCGTTGGTCCTCCTGTGGGCTTGCAGCCGTTGGATTGTCTTTTGCCCTTGTGGAATGCCCAGAAGCTGAACCTTGCGCTCTTGGGGCTGTCTTCGGGCGATGTTGGGGCCGTGTTGGGTCGTTTTGGGAGCTTCTGGGCGCTATCTGAAGCCTTCCCAAGACGATCCGACACCGAAACAGTTCGGAGTCGAGACGCGTTGCTGTCTTTACAGGGAGTTCAAACAAACGAGGACGGCATGCCCAGCCTCAGCCTCGCGGGCCCACGTTGAAACCAACTGTTTTCAATTATTTGTGTTGTTCCATGCGATAGGACCGTCGCGTGAGTCCTACTTAAAAGGCTAGTTTAGAACATTACGATGTGTATGGCATCGTCGTGCTGTTGGTTGTGCTGATCGTTGTGCTGGTGGTTGCGCTGGTGGTTGTGCGGGTAGCTGGCCTGGTAGTTGCGATGGTGGTTGTGTTGGTGGTTGTGCGGGTGGTTGTGCTGGTGGTTGTGCTGGTGGTGGCTGTGCTTGTGGTTGCGTCGGTGGTTGTGCTGGTGGTTGTGCTGGTCGTTGTGCGGGTGGCTTCGGCGGTGGTTGTGCTGGTGGTTCTGCTGGTTGTTGTGCGGGTGGTTGCAGCGGTGCGGTTGTGCGGGTGGTCGCGCTGGTGGTTGTGCCGTTGTCGGTGCTGGCGGTAGTGTTGGTGATTCTGCTGGTGCTGGTGGTTGTGCGAGTGATCGTGCTGGTGTGCTGATGGTTGTGCGGGTGGTTGTGCTGATGGTTGTGCTGGTGGTTGCGATGGTGGTTGTGCTACTGGTTGTGCTGGTTGTTGTGTTGGTGCTTGGACCTCGATGGGTCGTCTTTGGGCGTCCTTGGGATGTTTGGAGCCGCCTGGAGGCCGAAGTGGGCGGCGGGTTCTCTGACCACGCCGCCCCCCGGGAGGGGGTGGGTAGATCTACAGAAGACTACCAGACAACAGAGGAGCCTCCTTGCACGCCCCGGCCTGCCTGCGGCACGGTGCCAGATACCTACTAAGTAGTAGTGGGAGTGCGCACAACACTATCGTGCACTGCGCACCGAAATATGACTGCCAGACGTTCGTTGCGAATGCAGTGCAGCTGCGCTCTGCTCCTGCCATACTATAGACGGGTTTCTCACGTGTGCTGCGCGCTGTGAGACTATCCTGTTATGATGTTGAGTGAACGTCGCGGCCACTACTACAACCGCCACACCACTTCCATGACCTGAGCACTTGGGACTGGCCACCGCATTCTGCTACACTTGCATTGTCAGCGTGCACTTTTGCAATGCCCAGCCGCCTGCGGCAAACCCCGTCACCGTAGCTGTGAAAACTGCGTAGCAGGAAGGGTTTTGAATTTTTTAACGCCATGAGTATCTCCATCCATCCATCCAGGACCGATGCTCAGGGGAGCTTCTGGCATCGCGGGCGGGCAGCATGCCTTGGAGAGTTCGGGGGTGTCTCGCGGGGTCTCTTGGAGGCCTCTTCGGGGCGTCGTCGGGGGTCTCTCGGCAGCTCTTCGGGGCCTCTCGGGGCGTCTCGGGCGCCTTTCCGGGGGGCTCTTCGGGGGTCTCTCGAGGGCCTCTCTGGGGGCCACGTGGGCGCCTCCTGGGAGCCTTACACCGTAGGCGATGCTTTAGAAAACTTTCATTTTCGGCCAGAGTCTCGATTATTCTTAATGTTTCAATGTAAATCCTAAGGTTTTGATAGACATGTTGGATTTTTGTTCAAGTTCTGAGACTCTGAATTTCTTAACCCATGATTTCTTAAGCATTTCGCAGGGTGTACTGGGGGTCATAATGGGCGGCCTTCGGTGGTGCCTGTTTTGACCCTCCTCCGGGGGGGGGCTGTTTTCATACCCGTGTTTTTCGGATGTGAGCTAAGGTGCAAGGGCGCCCTCGAGGGCGCAAAGTTCTTCGCGCGCTTCGCGTTTCGGCTCCGATTCCTCCTCATCCTCCTCTTCTTTCCTGGGGGGCGGCGCGAGAGCGCGAAGTTCTGCGCGCTTCGCGCAGCGCGAAGCGCGAAGGTAGGCGCCGTTGAGAGTGGGGGGTCACTCCAAAACCAACTTCAGAGAGGGGACGCTTCTCAAGGGGATGCCGCGTGCGGTAGGGGGGGAGGGCGGCGGCCTAGAGAGTAGTTCGACAAATTCCACCAGACGATCGAAGATCATTCTAACATGCCTTCTCCGTGCAGGCACGGTGGCGGGGCATGCGTTGTTGCTCGCGCGCGGTGCTATTATTCGTGCATCCAGTAGTTGGCGGCCCATGGAGTGTGGACTGTGTACTGTGCTTTGTGCTCTGGCTACTGCTACTGATACTCTGGCGTTGCTGTGGCGTCTCGTGCTACAACTGTTTGTAGCGAGTGTCATGATTCAATGTGCACTCTGCGCTGTGCGCTGAACCACTTCTGATGAGCTTGGTCCACCGCTGCGGTGTCGACTACGACTGCGGACTGTATTACAAGTGCGGGGAGCAGCGTGCTGTCCCGTGACCTGGCATCGCTCGGACGTGTGCATTTTTTTTTCTCGGCGAGGACCCTGGAGGAGCATCCTGGATCATCGAGCAAGCAAGAACACGCACGAGACCGAAGATTGCACAGGGAATGGACGTCCGAGCGATGGCAAGGTGACACATGGACCAGCTTCTGCTGCAAAAGCAGACTGTTCGCCCACGGGGATGCCTACGCCTGGTGCAGAGCGCAGGCGCGAACAGGCTGGCGGCAGCAACAGCCGCCGCGCACGTCAAGTGCCAGTCGCCCTCGTGGACTCCTGCGAGGCGCACGGGGCCCCGCATTGAGTCGGGCCTGACCCCCTACGGGGGGAGTATCCAAAAATAGTCAAAGCATGGTCGGGGGACTATCTTTTGAATATCTTTGCCCATTTTTTTAGGGCATTTGTTGGGTATCTTTTATTCTTCGTCGAAGATCCCCCTGTAGGGGGACGCGCCCGACTTAAGGCAAGCATCGCACCACGGGTAAGGCAACCCTGCCGCGCAGACAACGCACGCAGGACAGGCGGCAGCGAAGCAGGAGGAGGAGGAGGAGGAGGAGGAGGAGGAGGAGGAGGAGGAGGGCAACCCTGCCGCGCAGCAGACGCACGCGGGACGGGTGGCAGCGAAGCATCCTTCGGATGCTCTCGCCGAGCCTGCGCGCGTTCAGATTCGCTTCGGGGTGCACGCGCGCAATCCGACCGGTTGGCATGCGTCTGGCGCGTCGACGGGCGATAGGCCATTATTCGATTCATACCCAGAGATCCAACGTATTGACAAAATCAAGACGGACCTTCGCAATTTTCGGCTCTGGGGGCCCTCACCGGGCCCTGGGACCGTTAAACAACGACTCGGGATGAAAAACCGGTCCTGGGGAATGGGTCGACCCTTCCTGGGACCACGTATTGAAGAAATCACGACATCGGATCTCTGGGTATGACTGGCGGCTTGCCCGCTCCATATATTGCAAGTCGATTGATGTGACCTGTGGTATCCGCACCGGCGGATGCCGTTTCAGAGTTCTCAGCCGCTTCTAGTCGACCTCCACAACGTCATCCGCGTCTGCGCGACTGGGGTGGCGACTCTTCTTCGGCCATGTCTGCCCTTGGTCGGGCTCCTTGATTTACTGACGCTTTGCCAAGGGAGCACAACAACAAACATAGCTTGCTTCGACAGGGTTGTATTGTGAAGGTCGGACTGGATGTTGAGGACGCTGGCGGTGCATCACCGGCCGCTCCCTGAGAGCTTGGCGAAGTGAGGCGCAGCATCGAGAGTCTCGGGGGCGGCCAGGAAGGGGGTGATGTCTAGGGGGGGGAGGGATATCATGGCGGGGGCCATGATACTTCCCTAGATTTCACGGCGCCTCTTCTTATTTCAATGCGTCCCTGGGCCGCGTACCGTTGCGTCCCCCCTCTTGGAGGCCCCCCTCTTGGACGCCCCCAGGAGCCGTGACGCGGCGCGTATGGCAATCATCCCTGCGGGAAGGTGCCTGAAGGTTTCCTCGGGGGAGCCGATGGTTTTCGGCCAAACGCTCGCGACCGTGCTTGGGTCGTGGGCCAAGAGCAGGCCTCGGTGGGAGGCGTCTTGGGGGGCCCCTTGGGAGGCCTCTCGGCGGCCTCCTGGAGCATTTCTGGAGGCCTCTTGGGGCCTCGTCGGGGCATCTTTGGGGAGGCGTTGGGGAGTCTTGGAGTCTGGAGGCCGGGCGGGGCCACGATTGCTCATCTCCGCAGCATCAACACGCTTTTTACCTGCCGAGGGGCCAATCTTTAGGGGAAAGGCTCCCAAGGCCCCTTCGCAATCCCTCTCTCCGGCCCCGCTCGCGGGGCCTCTCTTGGGGGCCTCATGGGCCGTCTCGGGGCCCTCTCGGGCCGTCTTTGGGCCTCCTTGGGAGCCTCTTCTGGGCCGTCCTGGGGCGATCTCGGGGGCCTCCTGGGCTGTCTCGGGTCTTGGAGTGCCGAGAGCCAGACACGGCGAGAGCGCGAGGTACTCGACGCGGAGATCCGCACACGTGCATCTCACTCTTCTGGCACGTCTACCCGTGGGCATACTCCGGGGAGCGTCTCGTGTGCGAGCGCGTCGCTCGCGCGTGACGTCCCCGCGGTCTGCAGTCTTGGGTGCGAGTGAGTCGCAAGTCTGAGTGCGAGTGAGTCTGAGTGCGAGTGAATCTGAATGGGAGTGAGCCTGAGTTCCGAGTTTCAGAGCGTGAATTACCTACCCTGCTTTCGCTTCCAGGCAAAACCAAGTCATACCACGCGCCTCCTCGTCAGGCGGCCTGACAAGCGCAGACCGTAGTTTGGCGTCGCTTGGTTTCTCTTGGAAGCGAGGGTGGTCAACCGCGAGGTAGGCTTGTTTGCGCCCTAGAGTTGGTCTGAGTTCCGAGTTGGTCTGAGTGTGAATCAGTCTGAGTGTGAGTTAGTCTGAGTGTTAGTGGGCCTCAGCGTGAGCAGTTCCGAGTCATGGGTTGGAGCGAACACAGGCGTGATGGGTCTGAGCGTGTGTTAGTCTGTCAGTTAGTCAGAGTGTGAGTGAGTCTGCGTGTGAATCTGAGCGTGCGCGAGTCTGAGTGCGGTTCCCTCATCTGCTCATCTGCCCACGTGCCTCGAACGATGAATGTAAGAGGGATGCTGGCGCGCTCTGGCTGTCTCTGTGCCCTCCCTATCCCTTCTCCCCCGTTTCCCTCTTCTCCCCCTCGTGGCCCTTCCTCCTACCCGTTGTGGTCATCCTCCACCCCGCCCTCAAGATCCTCGGTCATCTCCTCCTCTTTCCTCTTCCTCAGCCTTCTCTTCCTCGTCCTCCCCCATCACTATTCCTCGCCCCCCTTGCCTCCATCTTCTCTCCATCTTCTCCCACTTCCGCGTCCTGCTTGTTGTCGTTGTGATCCTGCCCCCTTCCCCTCCTCCCCTCCTCCTCCCCTCCCCCCTCCATTTTTTCTCTGTCGGTAACGCCGCCTTAACGCACCACCAGGCGTGTCGTCAGGGTTCCGTCGAGCCATGCTGCCGCATATTATCATTCAAAGTTGTGCAGCCGTTGCACGGATGGGGGACGGTGCTTTTTCAACATCGCTCTCTCGTTTGATAATTCGCCAGGTTTACGACAACAAGTTCCACACTGGGCACACGCTACATGGAGGGCGGTTTTCTTTGAAAGTTGGGATGCCGCTGGACACTTCCTTGAACCTTTCTGGTCCCACCTTGTCGCATGTGTTACAGCTCGAGCTCGAGCTCCCGCCTGAATGTGTGGGCCCTATGGCGTGGCGTGCTACTTTGAGACGTAATGCCTGTTTTATTGATTCACGAGGAGGGGACTTGGGACGGGAGGGTGACTAGCAGCATCGTTGGAACATGTTGGGTTTACTCTGGTATTCTTGATGGGCCTTGTGTCCACCACCACCACCAGAAGTTGGAGGGTGGAAGGAGGTTGAGGAGGAGGAGGAGGAGGAAGAAGAGGAGGAGGAGGAGGAGGAGGAGGAGGAGGAGGAGGAGGAGGTAGAGGACCGCCTCACCCTCCTACTTCTGGTGGTGGCGGTGGAAGAGCAGCCCACCCATTCTCTCTCCTGCGCTTCGTCTTTGCTCTTCCCCGCACGCGCAGGGCGGAGCGCGACGCGGACTTCCAGGTGTACGCCGGGGACAGCAGGAACGAGGCGCAGCTCGAGGCAGGCCTCACGGGCCTCTACGTGCGCATGTCGAACGGGCGGGCGGACCTCTACTACCACTCGAACTTTCTGGAGTGCCTCAGGCTGCGCGAGCATCCAGACGCCACGGGGTACAGGATGCAGTGGTACCAGCGCCTGTTTGTCATGTGCAAGCCGCGCGTCTTCCGCCAGTACTCGCGGATCCTGGGGCTCTCCGGGACCGTCGGCAACGAGCGCGAGCAGGCCTTCCTGCGCGAGGCGTACGGCGCGCAGTTCTTCATGGTGCCGCCCTTCCTGGAGACGTGCACGGGCGTCCAGTTCCACACCGCGCAGTGGGCGAAGAGCGAAGAGGTCTTCGAGCAGGGCGAGCTGAAGTCCGTGTCGATGCACCCTGGGCTGTCCGGCCCTGGCGCCGTCGCCTGCGACGCCGAGGAGCAGTACCGCATCGTCGAGACCCTGGCCTTCGAGACCCGCCGGCGCGTGCCAGTCCTGGTGATCGCCCCCAGCCCGGAGAGCGCCGATCTGGTCGTGGACAGGCTGCGGCAGCACGCCAGGAGTCGAAGAAGAAGACACGCCACGAGCGTAGACTTGCGGCGCTCCGCGTGGAGCCAAGAGACCCGCGTGGAGCGCCAAAAGTGTATGCTTGTGGCGCTTTCCTCTCTCTAAGGAAGGCGCTTGTGGGGTGCAACCCCAGCGACCTGGTCAGGTTCGTGGGCGCACAACTTCAAGCAGTGGCGAAGCGTCCTGGCTCGCCTATAGTCCTACTGTTCTAAGAGCCTTTCGTGGTTTCCACGGAACGCTCTTAGAACATTTCTGGCCGGGATTGTCCTGTCGTATCACATCGGTTTCATGTTCTGAGAACGTTGCTTCTGTTCTCAGATCACTGTTGGGTTCCGAGAACATGTCGTGGCAGGGCTATAGGAGTGCCGGGACGGCCGGTCCCTGCTCAACACCTGTCCGCATCTGCGGCCGCGTGGGCCAGCCCCGGAGGAGGAGGAGGAGGAGGAGGAGGAGGAGGAGGAGGAGGAGGAGGAGGAGGAGGGGCCGCGACCCCGCGGCTGCGGGGCGCTTTTGTTTGCTCGCGGGTGCCCCGCGCAGAAGCTGTCTCGTGCGGCCGCGTCTCCGCAGGATCGCGCCCCGGAGTCCCCAGGAGGGGAACACTTACACAGACACAACTTATCGTCGGTCCCTTGGGAAATATGGGAGAATATGGGAAGGGGGGGGAGAAACAACAACCCAGAACATGTGGGAAGATGTGGGGGATTTCTATTTGTGTGTATTGATTTGTGCGTCCCAGGGCCCCTTCAAATCCAGACCGCCAGGGCGTGGATGTTCGGAGGTTGACAGACCTCCTACCCTGACGCGTCCATTCGCGAGTTGGCCGTCTTCGGTTCGCGCGGGGGGGTGCGTCCGTCCTGTCTGCGGGTCCAGGTCCGGCGGCTTGGGTCCTGGGCCGCCTTCCACTGCAGGGTGGTCTGTACGAAAGAAAGGGAGAGGACAAATAACTATTAGACTATGCACATACGCCGATTCTGGCCAGGCCCATCCTGAGCCCAGGATCGGTGCATACGCCCCCCTACCTTGGCCGGGAAGGCATATGCACCGATCCCGGGTCAAGGATGGGCCCTGCCAGGATCGGTGCAGGTGCATAGCTCTCCTCGCCCGAAGAGGGAGGTGTGTCCACCGCCGAGAGGCGGACACTCCTGCCGTCCGCGAGAGGTCCCTCTCCCAGCGCGAGTACGACCGAGACCCGCACGTGTACAAGGAGAGCCTGCGGGCGTCCACGCGCACCGCGAGCAGGAGCTCCGTGGGCCCCAAGGAGTTCCGGATCACGGTGACGGACCACACGGGCGCACGCGGCGCTCGGGCCAGACGAAAGGGGGGGATTGGAGGAGGAGGAGGAGGAGGAGGAGGAGGAGGAGGAGGAGGAGGAGGCGGAGGATCGGGCCGAACGAAAGGGGGGGACAGGGAAGGGGGGGGGGGGTACGAAATTTGCTGCATGCAGCTGGTTTCGGCCCCACCGAGGGGCCCATTCCTCGATACATGGCCGCCTCCGGCGCCGGGAGGCGCCGGGAAAATCGGCTGCGTGAGCTGATTCTCAACCCCCCCTCTGCTATGCCCCCGTTTCGCCCGACCCGAGGCACGGACTACCAGATGTTCGACGAGGACGCGGACAAGGTGCCGAAGAAGAGCAGCAAGACCATGAGCATCTGATATGTTGGGCGCCCCGCGCGGATATCTTGGGCCCCCGTAGGGGGGGCCTCCGGCGCCGCCCCTGGCGCGCTGCGCGCGCCAGGGAGGGGGGTCCATCGCAGAGCTGAGAAATCCACGCCGAGCGCCAAAAGTTTCTGTTTATGGCGTTCTCTCTCCTTCTGAGGTGGGCGGCCTCATGCTGATCGTGATGAAGGTTCCGCCATCTCAGCGAGACTGGGTGCAGTTCAAGGGGCGCACTGCGAGGCAGCACTGGCGCGGGCAGTACTGCGTGGTGCTCAACGCCGAGGACTACCGGCTGCCGGACGGGGGCGCCGGGGGAGCCCTGCCCGCGCAGGCGTACGGCGCGACGCAGGGCCGACCGTTCGTGCCGCACGACCCCGAGGGCGAGCTGGTGCAGAAGGTGTTGGCCTTCGGCACGCGCGAGTCGGAGCGGAAGCTGGACAACTGCAAGGCCGTGTACAGCGCCGGCTTCATCGCGAACGAGGTCTGATGGGCCTGTCCTCACCGCCACCACCACAAGCTGGAGGGGGAGGGGTCCTCCTCCTCCTGCTCCTCCCCCCCGTTCCCCGCCTCGTCCTCCTCCTCGTCCTCCACCTCCTCGAGGGCGCCCTCGAGGGCGCGAAGTTATTCGCGCTTCTCGCGTCGCGGTTCGGCTCCGATGCCTCCTCATCTTCCTCTTCTCCCCTGGGAGGCGGCGCGAGGGCGCGAAGTTATTCGCACTTCGCGCTTCGCGCAGCGCGAAGCGCGAAGTTTGGAGCCCTGGCCTCCTCCCCCCCTCCAACTCATGGCGGTGGTGGTGGAAGACAGGCCCATCGAGGTCTGCGAGATGGTGTGGGAGCAGATGGGCCGGCGCGAGGCACTGCGCCGCGAGTCGGGGGACCTCCAGAGGCCGCGCGGGCTGGGCGTCGACGTGGACCTGGAGGGCCGCGGCCGCAGGGCCTTCCTGGAGCTGTGCGCCCGCTACCGCTACATGTCCGCGGACGAGATCGCCGACGTGGCGGGGTCCATCGAGCTGTCGCGATCACTGGGCAGGCTGAATTTCGTGCTGGCCCGCGACTCCAAGGTGCCGCCGCGCGCGGAGGGGGGTGGGGGGAGGGGGGGAAGGGCTTCTCAGAAGCACCCCTGCTCCTCAGAAGGCGCGGGCCTCCTCCATAGATGTAAGTCCGGCGCCTCCTAAGACGCAGCCTCCTTCCAGGAAGCCCTCCCCTCTGCCTCCACCCCCTTGTGCGCACCGCCAAGAGGTGCCAGACAAGAGGTACGTGAAGTTGCCGATGCCCCCTGGCATGAGCGTACACAGGCAGAAGGCGGTGTTGTTCTTGGTGGACGTGAGCGGTTCCATGACTGTAAACACCATAGGCCCAACGCTGACGCGGCTCGACGTCTGCAAGACGCAGGTCAAGCTAGGGGAGCGAAAGTTGGCATAAACAACAATTCGGAGGTCCGCGCGGATTCCTTGGATCCGCGCTGGACCCCCTCCCCTGGCGCGCGGAGCGCGCCAGGGGCGGCGCCAGAGGCGCCGCCAGGGGGCCCCGGCACCGATCCGAAAAGTCCGCGCGGACCTCCGAGGTCTTGTGTTTGTGGCATTGCTCGTTCCCGTTGAGGTCAAGCACATCATGCTGAATGAGAGGATCGGGGGTGGACAGAACACCCAACAGTGACACGTCGATTAGTATATTGTCCGTTTTCGGTTCTCGAGAGGGCGCCGCGGCCGTTCTTTTCCAGGCTTGCGCCCGCCAGGTTTGGGCCTCAGGTTGTTTTCACTAAACCACGTTTTACTAAAGGGAGGTCTGTCCATCCCCGAGAGGATCCTGTGCGACGACGACTACCTGGGCATCGTGGCCTTCGGAGCCGGCCACCGGAAGATCTTCCCAGACCCGCGCGCCTGGGCCCCGTGGAGCTCCCGCGTCGAGATCGTCGGCCCCGTGGACCGGAGGGCAGTGAAGGCTTTGGTCGACAACAAAGAGCTGGAGGCTTCCGCCTCCTCCTCCTCCTCCTCCGCCTCCTCGCCCTCCTCTCCTCCTCCTCCTCATGACTTGCTGCTTCTCCCGCATATTTCCCCCCCTCCCCACCCACATCCTCGAGAGGCTGCCCAGACGGGGTCCCTCAAGGAGTACGGCGAGGAGCTCAAGCCTTTCGAGTCGAACCCCCGGGTAGACCTCAAGAACACCCGCCTCGGGATGTACACCTTTCTGTACAGCACCCTCCACGCCTGCGCCAACGAGCTCGTGTCTGCACAGTGCGGGCCGAACTCCCCGGGCGGCGACCTCTCCAGGTGGATCATCCTGCTCTGCGACGGGGACGACTCGGGCGGCGGCCTGACAGAGGAGAGGGCTAAGTCTGGCTTGTCCCTCTACAGGAGAAATATTCAAAATTATTCGAAATGTGGTCAGGGGACGATTTCTCTATTATTTTCGGCTACGTTTGAGCATGTTTTGAATACTTTTTTCCCCCTTGCAAAGTCTCCCTGTAGGAGGACATGCCCGACCTGCAGTCGAGGCCGATTCGCAGGTCGACCCTGGCAAGTCCAGGGTACCCTTGTGCCCTGTGTCTTGCGACCCGTGCTTTCCTGCATGCCTATGGCAGTGTTGGCTATACGCAAGAGCGACCCTGGGCAAGAGTGACCTTCGGTGCGCGGCTTTGTAGGGGCCGCGGGGGAACCAAACCTGGGCGAACAAGCAGCTGCTACTGTTTCGTTTTCGGCCATCCGGGGACCCCTCCTGTGCCCGCACCAAAGGTCACTCCTGCGAACGGTCACTCTTACACGCCGGTGGTGGAAAGTAGATCTTTCGGGATTCCCAGATCCCAAATTTTCTTCAAGCGCCTTCCTGCTTCAAGAACCGGCACGCTCTTTGCCGTGTTCTGCTGTTCCCTGGGGTGGCCTGGACCCAATCCACTCCACCCGCCCTCCTGCTTAATGTTTCCGCCTGCTTCTCCCGACCGGCGCCTACGCCCAGCCGACAGCGTGGCCCTCAGGAGGGCCTGGCGCCCTCCCGCGCGCCCTCTCCGAGCCCGCCCCGCCTGCCAGGAGCGGGTACGGGCCCTCCTGGGCGCCCACGGGCGCGCCCTGAACCTCGTGATCATCGCCGTGGGCTCCGACGTCAAGAGCGGCCCGGTGCTGCAGGGCTTCGCCGACACCGTGCGGGGCCGCGGCGGCGTTGGCCTCTACATCACCGCCACCGACGAGCACGACGACACGGCCATCAGGACCTCCTCCTCCTCCTCCTCCTCCTCCTCCTCCTGCTCTTCCTCCTCCTCCTCCTCCTCCGCTCCCCGGTGGGAGGGCCAGGGGACAGGAGAGACAGGGAGGGCAAAGAGCGAGGGAGGGAGGGAGCGGCAGGAGGCAGGGAGGGAGAGAGAACGGGAAGGAGAAAGGAGGGAGGCACAGGAGAGAGGCCCGCGCGACGACGACGAACGAACGACGACGACGACGACCGCCCGCGCGCGCCCGGCTCGCTATAAACATGCACTATTGGCTTTCCGCGGGAATGTTTTGGGGTCCGCGCCAGGCCCCCCCCCGACGGCGCCTCGGGCGCCGCCCCTGGCGCGCTAGGGGGGCCCAGCGCAGATCCAAAAAGTCCGCGCGGAGGGCCAAGAGCCTATGTTTACGGCGTCTTTTCTCTTTCTATGTTTGCCTCTGGGCGATTCCGCCCGTGCTTCCCCCCCCCCCCCGCCCCCCGGATCGTATCACGGTGGCCGCCGGCTGGTGGTCACAAGCGCAGCGTGGTGCTCACGGTGGCATGTTGTGGCGCTCGCAGGCTGTTGCGGGCGCTCACAGGCATCCGATCGCCTTCGCAGGGCGTGTTGTGTCGCCCAAAGGGCAGCGTGGCGTTCGCAAGCATCCCGTCGCGTTCGCAGGCGCACTGGTGATCGCGCGCATGATTTTGCGATCGCACGCGTGGTGTGGTTCGCATCGGCTACTGTGGTACTGACGCGGTCTGGCGTACCGAGCCAGTGATACATGCTGCATGTGATGTGCCGTGGCGCTCACGGGCTATTCTGCCGGTGCTCGCAGGGCGCAGCCGCCTTGGCCGCCCAGTTGTCGCAAGCGCATTGTTGTGTTCGGGCACTCACGGGCTATCTGGGTGCTTGCAGGCACTGCGGTGTTCGCGGGAATATACAGTGTTGGCATGCATTCGTTGTTTTGACAGAGTCTGGGTGGAGGGCTGTGCCGAAGGGCTTAGGCGACCCGTCCTTTTTCTCCTCCTCCTTCTCCACCTCCTCCTCGTCCTCCTCCCTCCACCTCCACCTCCTCCTCCTCCTCGTCCTCCTCCGCTTCCTCCTCCTACTCTATCTTCTCCTCCCCTTCCCCCTTTTCCTCCTCCTCCTCCTCCTCCTCATCATCATCATCATCCTCATCATCACCATCATCATCATCATCATCATCATCATCATCATCATCATCATCAACAACATCCCTTTTCCTCCTCCTCCTTTTCCTCCTCATCCTCTCCTTCCTCTCCCCCCTTCCTCCTCCTCCTCCTCTTCCTCCTCCTCTTCCTCCTCCTCCTCCTCCTCCTCCTCCTCCTCTTCGTCCTCCTCCTCCTGTCCTCGTCCTCCTCCCCCTCCTGCTCCTCCTGCTCCTCCTCCTCCTATTGCTCTCCTCCTCCTCCTTACCTCCTCCTCCTCCTCCTCTTCCTCTTCCTCTTCCTCCTCCTCCTCCTCCTCCTCCTCCTCCTCCTTCTCTTCCTCCACCTCCTCCTGTCCTCCTCCTCCTCCTTCTCCTCCTGCGCCTGCTCCTCCTCCTCCTCTTCCTCTTCCTGTCCTCCTTCTCCGATCCGTAGCCATTTTGGGCTTGCAACAACATATTTCAGAACGGCTCACTGCTGTTGCGGGCTGAATTGGCTCGTCTGCAATTTCTTCAGTTCGAGGGATCTCAACCCTCACGCCTTCCACTTGTGAGCTCCTGCTGGAGCAACCTTCACCACGTCCCCATCGGAGTCATGGAGGGAGGCAGCGCTGGCGGTGGCGGTGGCGGTAAAGGACGAGTGTCCTGGGCGCCGTGGCACAAGAGCTGGTCAGGACCTCCTCCCGGAGCCCCAGACGGCCATGCCACCGCCAAGACGGCCGTCCCAATGCCACGACATGGCTTCCTCTTGTTCCTGGTCCTCAGCCTCCTCGTGGCCGTGGTGTACCTTCCGGGCGACGTTCCCCTGCAGGTGCTAAGTGGTCGTGCGGGTGGTGCGGGTGCAGGCGCAACGAGTCCAGATACTACTTGTGCAAGCACTGCGGCGCCCTCAAGGCTGACGCCTGCGTTGATTCCATGGACCCTTCCTCGGCATGGTCAACGGGCTCATCACTGGCATTGTTCGGTGGCGATGTGCCCCCCAGCGGCGGCAAGGGCGCAGGCGGAGGCAAGGGAGGTGGCCAGACAGGTGGCGATGGTGGCAAGGGTGCTCCTGGAAGCACCGTTCCCTTGTCAGCCGAGGAGTACGAGCAGTTGGCGTCACTATGTACCAAGATGGGCGACACCAAGGCGGCTTCAGGCGACGCCGATTGCGTCGTAACACCGAGGTCAACTTCTGCGAGGGGCTGTGCATGCCCCTCAGCTTCGTGGTGCCGTACGAGCTCGTGTGCAGCGACTTGGGCTATCGCGTCTCGCAGTTCGCCTGCGGGGGAGGGTGGAATGACGTCCAGGTCACAGTTCTGGGGACCACTGGGTCCGCCGCCTTCTCCGCCCCCGAGCAACTGGGACCCGCCGCTCGTGGAGCTGCATGCGGACACCCTCATCCTGACGGCCGCGGCCCCGGTGTCAGGGTCCGCCTCAACCTCGCATCTTGCCGGTCAAGATGCTCGAGAGGTGGTTCCGCAAACCCAGCCAGCAGCAGGAGACGAAGTACGAGGCCAAGGAGTCGGAAGTAAGCACGTACAACACCAAGATTGTGAATCCTGCGAGCCGCTCCGCTATCAAGAACTTCAAGCGGCGCCGCAAGTACAATATGCTCATGGCCATCATGTGCAATAAAATCGTCGAGGAGAAGAACATCCCGTGCCCGTCGCCGCCGCCGATGTCCAGTGGCGGCCGCTCGACTACGACGTGCGGATCGGGTACGATGACGACGACCCCATCCACCTCCGCAGGCTCCCATGGTCAGCGTCGGTTCGTGCCAGATCAACTTGCCGCCGCTGCCACTGGAGGGGATGTAAACCTTGCCGTTGACAAGGCAGTTTTCTACAACTTCGCGAATGGCGCTTCGGTTCCCGGGGACGAGCCCATTCGCCCTACCATCGTCAAGGCGGAGTTTGCTGGCTTCAGCGCCGACGCCGAGACCTTCTTCCCAGGGAAGCCGTTCTACCAGGACCTCGACAGGGGCCGTGTGGAGGAGCGCGGTATCTCGAGCGAGGGGCAGCGCGGCGAGGACAACGGCTTGATGACCATGACCCCCGTCGCGGTCATGGTGCCGCCGCCGCTTGATGACCGTGACCCCTTTCGTGGTCAACGACGGGCTCACTTTGAGCCTCAGGAGGGGCGCTTCGACCCCAGCTTGGACGACATCTACGACAATGGTGGCCACGTCGAGCCGCCAACCGACGTTGCGCACGCCACTTCCGTGCCTTTCGATGGCGTCGATGGCGCGTCCGACATTTACGACGTCACGCGCGCTACTTCCGTGCCTTTCGATGGCGTCGGTGACAAGTCCGAGCCCGAGGTCATCAGGACGCAGATCGAGGAGTCAGCTCTCGCCACCATCGGCGAGGAGAGGCTCGCGCGGCTCCGCAAGATAGGCTACTTCGCGAATGCAGGTGGACAAGTCCTTCACAGGCTCCTTCGGCTTCACATGTCTGGTCACTTTCGATTCCGACCGCGTGTGGAACGGGTTCGGCCTCGCTTCTTGTTCGGGCCATTCTGGTTCAAACCCGCGGGCCCCAATTTTCCTAGCGGCCAGTCCCTGGCAGTCTCTGCCCTTGGAGCCTGGGTGTTAGCGGCGCACTGGAAAAATCCG